CCGGTGCCGGTAGCAACAAAAATTGCGGGGAACCATGCAAAAAACGCATCTTCGCACGGGCAGCCCTTGCGTTGGCCAATTATTTAATCTCTAATTTAATTTCAACTTTTAATTTGATCTCTTTAATTTTAATTGTTTTATTTTTTTAGGTTTTTAATTAATTTGACTAATTTTTTAACTTTAATTTTAATTAATTTTTAATTTTTGGGTTTTAATTTTTTTTAATTTTTAATCCTTTTTACTTTTTTAATTTAATTTTTTAAAAATCATTAAAATCGTTAAGTTCCTAAGCCGAACGTAGAAACGATAGAAACATAGAGGCCGGTAATAGTATGTGAGGATATGGGCCATTTCAGCAGTCGACTAGCAGCAGCGCAGCAGCAGCAGCCGCCAAACAAGTGACGCAACCAAGCAAACACCAACATTTAGAGGAAAAAAAGCAATGAAGGTTGGTTTCCCGTCTTTTTTATGTATATGTTACGCATAGCAGGTATGTATATACGTATGTACGTGTGTATGTATGTATGTGTACCCAAAACTACACATAACCACACAAAAACTACACGTAACCGAAGAACCGGATTTCCTTGGAGGCCCGGCTTTTCGGTTACGCTCAGAAAGGCTCGAATGTAGAGTCCCTTCCTCCCCTGGATGCGCCTGTGTTATAAGCGAGCTGAGATTTGACGTTATAGCTGCAGCATTACCGAAGCGTAGATTCCTCCTGATATCACAAATAAACTGTCATTAACTGCAATAAATAGTGACATTTTTTTGCAGGGCAAAAGAAAGCGGCAGCGTGATGGAAGCTCGGAAAGTGTTCCAACGCGTAGGAGGTTAGATGTGAAAAAGGTTTTACGTGAAAGGTTTTATGAAAAAGGTTTTATGTGAAAATGGTGAAAAAGGCGTAAGAGGTTTTTTTAATAATTTATAATTTAATTTAATTTTGTGGTTTTTATGGTTTGTTTTTTATAGTTAATTTTATAGTTAATAGTTTTTTTATAGTTAATTTTATATTTTGTAACTTTATAGCTTATAATTTTATAGTTAAAAACTGTTTTAGTTTTTTATAGTTCCTAAGCCGGACATAAAAATGATAGAAACATAGAAATTCCCTTGCGCATTGTTTTCTGGTTGTACAGGATATGAGCTGGTAATGTTATGTAAGGATATAGTCCATTTCAGCAGTCGACGAGCAGGAGCAACATCCAGACGAGTGACGCGCTTACGCAGAAGTCACAATTTAGAGGAATCCGGTTTGTTTATACTTTTTTTGTGGTTTTTTTTTCTACTTATCGGATTTTACTTTCTAACACAGTCAATTGGACTTTGCGGCCGACACGGTCAGTTGGGCCCCTCTTCCCCCTCCCCGAATCCTTGCGGACAAAATAATAGTGAGCAAAAATTTACTATATTTACTGCGCCAAAATTTGAAAGCGGGATGTGCTTCAACGCAGCTTGAATCACTGGGATAATGTTTTCGGTATCTTATCATCGGCTACTTTAGAACAGCGTTCCCGTGCCCGAAAACTGCGTAAGAATGCTCGCCGAAATCTGAAGCGACAGAAATGGTTGACGCATTATGATGACGATAACATCGGCTGTATCTGTGCCGCGGTTGACACGGTGATGATTTTATTTGTTTTCTGATTTTACTTATTGTGATGATTTTATTGACACGATGATGATTTCATTCTATTTTTTTTCCCGCGAGTCAGTTTTCAGTTTCTACTTTATATTTTCTAAATCTGTGCTGCAGTTGACTCTAAAAAATTTGTAGTTCTCAAAAATTTCTAAAATTTTTAGTTTTAGAAAATTTTGTGGTTGTAAAAAATTTTGTTGTTTCTAAAATTTGTACTTCTAAAAAATTTGTAGTTCTAAAAAGTCTTTCTAAGGTTCTAAGAAGTTCTAAAAAAGTTTGTGAAAGTTCTAAAATTTTGTAG